GAAAGAAAGAAAGAAAGAAAGAAAGAAAGAAAGAAAGAAAGAAAGAAAGAAAGAAAGAAAGAAAGAAAGAAAGAAAGAAAGAAAGAAAGAAAGAAAGGAATCTGTGCATTTAAAAAGCCGTTTAAGAAAAAGAAATTAAAATTGGAAAAAAAAAAAGTCATTTTCCGGGTTTTTGCATCAGAGGTTCAGGCTGCAATGGCTACGCGCCCCCTCGTGGCTAAAGTGACCTCAGGCTTGAAAATCACGTTCTGATGCTCACATCTCGGGGAGGGGAGAAAGGAAATGGTTTCTTTTCTGATGCAGAGACTATCTGAGAGCAGCTTTGACTTCGCACCAAGATGGACAGGAAGGGACGGCACACCCTCCCATCAAAAAAAAAAAACCAAACAAAACAAAAAAGCACTCCATTATATCTGGAAAGAAGCTTCATCGTATCTAAGCGAAGAAGCCAGAATCGCACCAAGCGTCATGATGCACGAACAGCCGTGAGGCTTCCAAATGGTGCGCCGGGTAGCGCTCCGGGACCGCATGCTACTTGCGAACGATTTGATGGGCGAATGCGTTTTCGATGTCCCAAATCGCTGATTTAGTCGAAAGTGTGTTTCTTCCTGTCTCTTTACTTTTTTGTGAACACCATGACCAAGGGGCGCTCCCCGCTACCCACTGCAGTCAAAACGGAACTGTCTGCGCCTCTTCCCCATCGTTCCGGAACGTCCTCTGCCTTTCTTTCTTTCTTCAAGACGGACGCAAGTCTGGGGTCGTTTCCGAGTCGACCCCTGGAAACACGCATTGTACCAATGACGCGCAATTTTAAATCGGTGTCATACCCAGGACTGAGGCGTGAGACACGATCGCTGTGGCCACTCCGAAACGTCACACGGCTCTCTAACTCAGCCTTCGCCGTGACCCGTGAAAGGTCGAGTTCACGTCAGGTGGGAGGCGTAGCATGAGTCACCGGAACAAGGGAACGTGCTCTCTGGGACCCAACGCCGGGAACACAGCATCCAGGGACAGCTGAGTCCGCACCAGCGGAATCCGTGTTCTGCTCCACGCGTGCACTGCGGTCTGTCACCGCCTGCAAATACTGGCCCTCTGAGGCTTGAGGAGAGCAGCCCGCGTGCAAGATGCCCACCCCTCATGACAGTAATTACGGGGCGAGGGGGACTGTGACCCGTCCAGCCACTCCACAACTCCGGGACAGATGGTGTACAGCAAGCACAAAGCTAGGCTCTCCTTTATGTGTCTGAGATGCCTCCTGTCACCCAAGTCACCAAGACATCCATCGTCGTGTACATTTTATACGTGCGTGGTTGTATTTACAGAAAAGTTCAGATATTTATTCATTTAGTCATCGCGTTTTGTTTTGTTTTTTAGTGTTGGAAATTCTTTCTTGGTTTTCCACTGTGGTAAGAACACGTAACGCGAGCTCCGCCCTCTGCAATCTGTAAGTGTGGAATATAGTATGTTTAGACACGGCGACACACGGCCGATCTCTCGACCTCTGTCCCCCGGCGTAACTGAAGCTTTCTACCCATCGACCGTCGGCCGCCCACATCCCCCGTCTCCCAGCCCCCAGCCCCCAGCGACCTTTCCACTCCATGTCTCTACGAATGTGACTATTTCACAGCCGCGCGGGTCCCGGGAGGAACAGCCATCCCACTGGCTGAGGACATGGAGGTACTTAGAACGAACACACGCTATGCCTTCTCCTCTAAGACGCAATCATGATGAAAAGCGATTCATCGGGTCCCTCCCGCGTGGCACCGTGTCCGGCATATACAGACGTGCTTCATATTTGCTGAATAAAAGAGTGAATGCTTAAAATAAAAAAGGATTATCCGAGACCGAGGAGAACCTTTCCACACTTCATGAACGTGAAACTCCTGTGGTCACCCCAGGCACACGTACTGGTTGTGTGCAATTTGCGCCATGAATGAACACACGATCGTGAACCTCGCCTGGGGAGGGATGAGCACCTGCGTTTGCCGACGAGCCATTGCGAGCAGGTGGCTGTTCTGACGGACGGAATCGCTTTGGACGAAGGGTTCAGTTTACTTCGTAAAGTTGGGTCGCCTATTGCTCTTAGGCATCGAATGAGCCTATTTCTTGTTCCACGTAGACAAACATCCTTAGGAGCAAGAATACACCTATTTTTATTAAATTTATCGGGGTGACATGGGTGGATAACATCATATACATTTCAGGCATACAATTTTGGAATACGTCATGCGGGTACCGCATGGTGCGCTCACCACCCGAAGTCACGTTGCCTTCGATCACCGCGTATTTGACCCTTTAGCCCCGGCCGCCGCCCCCCACACCGTCCTGTTGTCGGGGCGTCCTGTTCCTTCATTCCTTGGTCATGTTTGCTCGTTGGTTGTTTTCTGTTTTATGCCCTACGCGGGACTGAAATCCTGAGGCCTTTGTCCTTGCCCGTCTGACGGGTCTCCCTGAGCGTGACATTCTCAGGATCCGTCCACACTGTCGCAAAAACATGGTCTCACCACGGCGCGGATCCGCCGTCCGCCTCCCGAACTCCCGGTCACGACGTCAGGGAACGAGGAGAACCTTCGGGTGGAACAATCGGGCGGAGGGCGCCGTTTGTGACCGCTCGCAAGCGCAGCGGACGGTCGGCGGAGAATCGCCTCCCGGGACCCGTCGGAATCGCGAGCGAGCGCTTCCCGCTCGTCACGCGCGGGGCGGGACGTCCCCTTCCTTGTCGCACCCGCAGAAGGGGAAGGTCCCACAGCACGGCTGCAGCCACGGCTTCCACACCGTGTGCCACAGGGACAGCTGCGGCGGGGCGGGCGCGAGCGTCCCGCGGTGCTCCCTGAGGGCCGCCTCGATCTTCTTGACCACCGGGTGGAACAGCGCCTCGTGGTCAGGGTCGAGAGGTCGAGACTCGGACGGGTCCCTGGACACGTCGAACAGCAGCGGAGGGTCGTGGTGGGTGACGTCCCCACTGCAGGAGCACAGCCCGCTGTCGTAACAGGCGCCAGCTCCCTCCGGGGAGAATTTGGGGGTCACGTAATGAAGCTTCCACACAGTCGCACCTGCAAAACAGAGCTTCGTTGGGGCGCCGACGCCTTCCTGTTGGCGGGTTTTATTCCCCGTTAAAAAAATATGTATTTCTCAAGTGTTTGCGCAAAAAACTAAAAATCTTTTGCACAAATAACTAAAAATCTTTTGCACAGAATTACACGGCAGCCATGTTTCCTCAGAGTATAAGAATGATTCGCGATTTCACTGTGAACTTGGACAATTCTTATCATCATGTCATGAGACCATCCAGAGACAACGGTCACCATCAAAACGGCTGCCACAACTGCGGACTTTCTAATGCAGACCGGGACCTTGGTCTGACGTGGCGCACGCAGAGCCGAGCGTTTGTTGAGGACGAAGCTCACTGCAGCTCTGAATCTGGCCAAGACGGTTTGGCAAATCGGTCCTTCCTTCCTTCCTTCCTTCCTCTCTCCCTCCCCCCTTCCTCTTTCCTTCCCTCCTTCTCTGTCTCTCTCTGTCTCTCTCTGTCTCTATCTCTGTCTCTCCCTCCTTCCTTCCCTCCTTCCTTCCATCCTTCCTCTGTTACTAGTACCATCATGACTGGCTGTTATTTGCACCTGGCGTAACTCCCCCCCCCCCAGAGGACAAGGAGCCGGGCCCGTGTCCTCACGGCGTGGCCCCCCGTGTCCGCCACCTGCGTACTCACAGTCCCTCTGATGCCACCTGACCGCGTGCAGGTAGACGCCGCAGTAGTGGAAGAGGAAGTCGTGGTCCGAATGGCGCGCCCGGCCTTCCAGCAGAGGCATGAGGTTGCGGCCGTCGATCGCCCTGAGGGAGGGGGAAGGCGGTGAGCCAGGCGAGCTTGCGTCTCGCATCTTACGACAGATCGAGGAGGAGGCGGAAAAGGAAGGGGCGGCGGAGGCGGAGGGAGGGGATGGGCTTCTAAAGGCTCATGACACATCGTCCCTTGTTGCATAACACGAAGGAAAAGAAAGAAGACTTATGACACATCTTGTAAGACGCTGGGAGAGGGGCGCACATGGAAGCGTGACTCTGATACCGTGCAAGAGTCTGTGAATGAGGGTCATGGATTTGAGCATCGATTCAAGAGAAACCGCACTGCACAGAAATACCCTACCACCCTCGCCAGCCCCGCACACACCGCATGAAACCACTGAAGCCCGCAGCGTCTATTTAAAAGCTCACAGGAAAATGCAGCATAGTTCGTCACACATGCATGGACCCACGCCGCCTTTTACGCAGGGACCGACTTCACGGACATGTGCGTCAGGGTCTAGCTGCTGTGAGGGCTCCAAACATGGATGACGGTCACGCCCCACCCTTGAGGACAAGCACGCGTGAGCGTGCGCAAGTCCCACACGGGACGGAAGGCGAGCTGTGCCCGCGTCGGGAACAGATGACGGTCTTCGCGGAAGAGTGAGCATGGAATGGTCACCTGCAGGGTAAACCCGTCTGCCTCGGTGGGGAGCGGGCGGAGGTCGCCTACCTGTCCTGGGGCAATACGCCTCCCGCGACATGTGACAGCGTCGGGTAAATGTCCATGAGACTCGTGGGCTCGTCGATCACTCTCCCAGCCTCCAGGACGTTCGGCCAGCGGAATATTCCCGGGACGCGGATGCCCCCTTCCCATCCGCCCATGCCTTCGCCACCTAGAGCCGAGAACAAAGACGGAAGACGGGTTCGACGCGGCCGATGCGGCCCCACCCGACGGGAAGTTAAATCCAGACGTAACGCTTGGCTACGTTGACGCCCGCGTGCGCTTGGCAGGCGCAGGGATACAGGAATAACCATGAAGTATAAGTCTTACCTTCAAGAAGTAGAAACTCTAAGGGCAAAGGGGTCAAAGACACGGAGACAGAAGGAGCCCAGCCTTCGGCTGCTGAGCATCACGCCAACGCCGTATTACAAAGCCACACATGCGGAATTGATAGCTATTACCCGGTGCCGCCCCAATCAATTTAACTTAAAAATCGCACCCCTCAAAAAGCTGTAAATAAAAAAAAAAATGGAATACTCTCATAGCGAACTTGTTTTGATCAAGTGACAAATCCAATGATGACAACTAAAAACAAAACAAAACAAAACAATATAAATAAATAAAAAATAAATGGATAAAACCGAGTGCTATCCTCAGACACGACATCGCTACGTACTCCTAAGGGCTTCGCGCTTTGAACAGCGTGAGAGAGAAGTGACACCCCCTAAACGGCAACTCTCGAGGTTTTTCTTTTGTTTCTGTGTTTAATTATTTTTAAATCTTTTCGATTTCAGCCGACGTACGCTATAATGTGAGTGTTGGGTGCACAGCTCCGTGGTTAGACGTTGATAGAACTTACGAAGCGACCCCCCTATAACTCTAGTCTCCACCTGGCACCCCGCGTGCTGATTCCAATATTCCTGACGAGTCTCCCTGTGCCGAGCTTCACGTCCCCGTGGCGATGTTGTGACGGCCACTTTGTCCTTCACCCTTCCCCTTTCTCGCCCGGCCTCCCACCTGGCGCCCATCGGGTCGTTCCCTGGATCTGCGAGTCTGTTTCTGTTTTGTCTGTTCATTTATTTGGTTCCTTAGATCCTGCATGTGAGTCACTCCATTTTTTTTTTATAGAAGGAAAGCAGGCGACAGACGATGGGGAGAGACGCTCTCGTGCCGGCTTCTCTCCTTCCCAGAGTCTCAGCAGAGATTCGGGCGTCCTGAGTCCTGAGGTCACATACGTTGTTATTTGTCACAGCATCTCATCCGCAAAGCGGCGTCACACACGCGCTCCCTCCTCCGTGTCCCAGGTGCCGGCGCTTACCACACGGCCACCGGGGTCGCGCCTGCCGTGCCGGGGACAAACAACTCTGCGGAAAGCTCGTACGCGCCTCTCACGTCGGCCACACTCGGATTAAATTCAGACTTTTGCTTTCTAGGCTCTCGTTTTACAAAAATAAAATGTCACAGGAAATGGAAAGCCGCTGGATTTATTCGTTCGAAATGCTTTCTTTTGCCCGGAGAAATGAACCCCACCTGTATAAATATTAGATGCTCAGGAAATAACCGTTTACTTGTTATTGTAAAGCCTTACGAACAGGAGGAAGTGAACCTCGTGTTTATTTTTCTACAAGAACTAATAGTCGAATCCACGGCAACAGGCGAGCGTCTAAATGAACGGAACGACAACAAAACTTCTACTCCAATGGCACAGATGTGCCGTCGCGCAGTGACCGGACGCGGTGCCGAAATCGGTCGGGGTTTGTCGTGCGCGCTGCTGCGTACTTGCAGAGAAGGGGCTCGGGGGAGGGCCAGCCCCGACACAAACTCAAGCTCAAAATGTTTTTCTCTCCAACACCGACAGCCTCGCTGACCGTGGGGTAAAAGCCACGCAGAGAGGAGAGCCGCACGGTGGGCACGGAGCTGTCCGGGCCCCCGGGTGGCTGGCTGACCGTGTGCCGCCTCGGCCAGGCCCCTCTCTGTAATGGACGAGAGCTCGTCCTCCTATTTGTTAAGATTTGGTTTCTTTAACTTGACTCTATTTAGACTTTCTTTTGAGTGAAAGCAGATGGACATCGCAAATACTACGTGGGATACACTTATACTTATCAATATGAGTATGTCCCAAATATTTCATGCCATGCAGTTTTTAGATTTCTCAGATAAGTCAAATGATATGGTATTGGTCTTTATCTAAGTGGTTTCACTTAGCATAACACTCTACAGGTCCATCCACGCTGATGCACAGGGCACTATTTCTTCTTTTTCATGGCTATCTATCTATCTATCTATCTATCTATCTATCTATCTATCTATCTATTTATCTATCATCTATCATCTATCTATCATCTATCTATCTATCAATCATCTACTTATTATAGTGCTTGATGACCAGAGCGATTTTACCCAACAGGGACATTTGACAATTTTGGGAGACAGTTCTGACTGTAGGAACGGATGGGAAGCGCTCCTGGCATCTGGTGGGTGGAGACCAGAGACACCACCGAGCACCCTGCAGTGGCCAGGACACCCCACTTCAGAGAGTCATCCATCCCAAGATGCGAGG